AATAGGTCTCTGAATGTAATTTTTTAAATTTTTTAAAGTTTTTTTTATGATTTTTCCATTTTTATACATTTATTACTTTTAAATTTTTATGATTTTTCCATTTTTATACATTTATTACTTTTAAATAATTTTAGCCAATATTTTAACATAGGTGATCGAATTAGTTATTGCTTGTAGGTGTATAGGATAAGATGGAATGTGTATATATTTATATATATATATAAATTTAGGTCAAATTATTTATATTCATAACCAAGTTTTCTAATTATATATGGTGAGGTATACAAAAACAAAACAAGTTTGGGGAAAAAAAAAAATAGAGGGAAGGAGAGAGGGAAAGAGAGATAATTCCAAGATTTTGAAGCTCCCAATGCGTGCAATGAATGAAAACAAGAGAGTTTGAAATATTTGTGTTATACCAGCTTTTTTCCCTCTCTACTTTTGGCTCCCAATGTCTTTGTTGGTCTATAAGTGACAAGCTTTAAAAAGTTACAATTTGTTTGTTCAATTATGTAACAAGAGTAATCCTTTTTTTTCCCCTATGGTTGGAGATGGGAGATAGGGGGAAGAGAAAGGAATCTTTATTTCCAGAATTCATAAATTTTTTTACTAAAATTTAAAATAAAAATTATGCTAGTTTCCGTTTGGTTATGCCGATTTCTATTTCATTATTAAAATATGCACGTATCTATCTTATTTATTTTATATAAATACCTGAGATGAACTTTACTAAAATTTTTATACGATTTATATTTGAAAATATCCATTCCAAAAAATATAAAAAATATGTCTAATTTTTAACAAAATTCAAGAATAATACTAGTTGAAAGGATCACTTTTTTTTTTTTCCTTTGAAACCTATTAAAGTTCACATAAAATGCAATATAATAAGATAGACAAAAGGTACTCTTTTTTTTTTGGTACAAAAAAAGCTACTCTTTTTTGTTGGTATTGAAACTTTTGAGTGTGGGAGCAAGCGTGAGGAAGATTCTCTCATAAGAGCTATCTTTTTGTGGAAATTAATTGTTAATTACTAATTAATTAGATTAATTAATTAAAAGCCACTTTTGACAAAAATTACTCTTGAGATATTAACCCTTGTTTAAGCTGCAGTTCATTGGGGTGAGTAATGAATAATGATGATTATGGAAGTGAAACACATAGTTCAAAAATGTTGAGCATAACTAAGAAGGGCTCAAATAATTACACTTGTCAATAGTCAAAAGTCATTCACTTCAATCATTGTGAGAGAAAGTGGGTCTTGTGTGGAACCATAATTTATTTATTTTTAAAATATATATATATTATAACTACAATAACTAAAATGCAAAGGGGATTCCCATTTTTTCAAAAAAAAAAAAAAAGTTATGCATCATGCATATAAATTTTCACAACATTATTCGGCTCCTAAAGCTCTTTTTAATTTCCTCCACTTTTTTTTCTCTTCATTCTCACTCTTTTTTATCAAGATAATTCATTTCCACGGAGGTATTTATAGAAGGTTTTATAGTACTCCTTCCGTTCTTTATTATAACAGACACTTGATGTTTATGACATGTTCTCATATATAAGAAACACTTAAAAGTTGTCTCTATTTTTTTGTATTGGTTTCCTAGTTTACCCCTATTTATTTTGTCTCCAATTTATACTGTCTCTCCCCCCACTTCTCTTTCTTTTAATAATTTAATTGTTCTTTCTCATGCTCTCTCTCCTTATTAATGAGGACATTGTTGAAAAAAATATTATACTTTTTACATATTAATTGTCTTTAACTAATTTTAATTGTTTTTTTGATCAACATAATTTAGTTATTTGTCTCTTATAATAAGAAACGGAAGGAGTATATACTAAAGTTGGTATTTTATGATACGATACTTTGCTCAAATGAGTAGTCTACTCGTAATAATATTAGAGGAATTCCTTCTTAGAAATTTAGGAGCTCTTATATGTATACATGAAGCTATTAAGGACTAGTTGTCTTAGTAGTAAGACAACATTATCCTTTACAATTGGATAATGTCTCATTTTTAAACATACTTTAACATGTTTTTATGCATACATTTAAATTATATTAAATAAAAATATGCGAAACTTGATAACATGAATCATAACAAATTTTTTTTTAATATTTTTGTCTTTTAATATTAATTTCTGAATGAAATAATTATTTATTAATTGATACTTTAAAATACCAATATTCACTTAAAATTTACATAGAATCTCATTATTTATAAGTTATAAATAATGTGACTTACTGTCAAGACTCACATTTCATTTTACCTCCATGCAGACTTAGGGGTGTTCACGGGACGGATCGGGACCGGGACAGGCCCGTCCCGGTTCCGTCCCGATGAACAGTAACGGGACAGATTTTCTGTCCCGTGTCCCGGCCCGTCCCGGGGTTGTCCCGGTCCCGGTCGGGACGGGACGGGACGGATCCGGGACGGGACCGGGACGTCCCGAAATAATTTTTTTTTATTTTTTTTTATTTTTTTTAATTTTTTTAAAAAAATCTAATTTTTTTAATTATATTTTTTTGAGCTTAAATCTTATAAAAACATCTTTTTTATTTGTTTGGGCACTCTTAAACAAAAGCTCAAAATATTACATATAATAGTTATTAAAAACTCTAAACAAAAGCTTTTAACACAATAAAAACTTGCTAAAAATTCTAATAATCAATAATCTCAAATCATTAACAAATATAAAAACTCTAAATAAATATATCCATAGTTCCATACAATAGTCTCAAATTTTAAAAAAATATGAAAAAAATGATATTATATAAAAAATTAAAAAATTAATTTTTTTTTAAAAAAAAAAGGAACCGGGACGGGACGACCCCGTCCCGTGTCCCGTCCCGTCCCGGTCCCTTTTTTGTCCCCTCCCGAAAAATTTCGGGACGAATCCGTCCCGTCCCAATAAGACCGGGACCGGAACGGGCCGATCGGGACGGGCCGGCCTTGAACACCCCTACATGCAGTCAAGGTTTTCTTCATAACAACATGGCTAAGTTTGGAATTTCAAATCAATCTTTAGACAAAATTCGGAATTATGACGTATAAAGAAAAAGATATTAAAAACAAGAAAAAGTAATAAAAAACAATTAAAAAAAATTAAAGTGGGGTGAAAAGAGACGAACTGTCAATGGGACCTACGGGAAGGACAAAATGTCAGAGTTAATGTAACTTTAGTAAACCTAACTTTGGAAGCAAATGCAAATTACTTCCATCCAATTTGTTACCAGCCAATTCATTTCATTTTATTTCAATTCAATGCCCACTCATTTCTCCCCACTTTTTTTTTTAAAAAAAATTTCATTTCTTACCTTTTCAATGTAGTGAATGGAAGATTTGATGTTACTTTACTTTCTTGTTCATTTTACTTTCTGATTGGAAACATTAAGCATCCTAAGTTCATTTCATCTTTACAACATCCAACATCATACTTTTTGTTGTTTTCTCTTTAAATATATTTGTGATGTGAGTTGATAGAGTTCTTGTCAATTCCCTTTTCTCAAAAGCCAAAAAAAAAGTTACATTGAGAAATATTTATCTTAACCATTTTATATTTTTTTTTACAAAAAGAGCTTCAAATTATAATAACTTCAACAGGAATTAAGTTATTATCAAGTTTTAAGAAAACTACTACCAAATTTAAACCTTATGTTCTAAGAAACTTTATAATATTTTTTTAAAAAATATTATTTTTCAAAAATGAATTTAGATCCGCAAAAATCATTATGTTTTTCTTGATCGTTGGATCTAAATTATCTAACTCAATTTCAAAATATAACCAGCCCCAAATTGATTAGAAAAATTAGCCAAAAAAATCCATACATGCAAAAATTAATAGATTCATTAAAAAAAATTATTGCTAGCTATCGTTATTTTTAAAAAATTAATAAATATGTCACACTCTTTCATTTCAGCACTTTTGCACTTCCGTCTGCAAAAAGAAAATTGAAAGCAGCAATTGTCTACGGCGGATAATGTTCTGATCAAAAGTTTTTTTTTTTAATAATAATTTTTTAAATAAAGTTTTATTCTTTATATCATTTTCCCCATAACTTCGCAAATCATTGATCTCACATCCAATTAAACAACATTAATTATCTTCTTTTAGCCTGAAATTTGGAAGCCCATTGACCTCTGTATTAATGCCCTTTTTAAGGTCAAAACGAAATCAATCCTTGAACAAAGAATATAATCAGTAAAATTAGCATATCCCATCAATTTACACTGAAAATCGCCAACAAATTCTCTTTTAATCCCTACACATTAGCCGCCAGTTTTTAAGATTAAAAAAGTTTGCTTCGGATAAAATCGTCTTTAATAAGTTACTGATCTTATGGCTTAATGATACAAAAGTTTTCCCATAAAAGTATGGATTGGATCTCGTTTATAATCTAAACTTATTGGTGCCTATTTTTCTAATTAAAAAAACTACTTTTAATAAGATATAAGATAACAACTATGTCCAATAAAAAAACAATATAAAATCTATCTAAAGTTTGCTTTAGGGGTGTTTGGAAGTTTTCAGAAACATTTTTCTGTAAAACGAGACAAACTCCTCCATATATTTATTTTATATATTATAAAAATATTTTTTTAAAATTATAGTTTTATTTCTGCCTAAACTATAGATGCTCATTGCATAACTTGAGTTTACAACATTATTTAAATAGTAACAGATTTTTTTTTCCAAACTCCAGTGGCATTATTATATTATTAACACAAGAACATGAAAACAAATGGAGGGAAGGGAAGGAAAGGACAATATTAGCATGAGGTAATATTATATTATGACGATTTCTTTTTATAGTCTCAAAAAGAGAATTAGAAAGAGAAGAAAGAGAACAGCAAGTGATGTGGTGTACACGTGCATATGGGCTTTGGTTGGTTCTGAATCCTCTCATTAACGCGCTCTCTCTGGCAATTTTGCACGGCTTACGAAGTGAGAAACCCACAGAGACACAGTGAAGGAAGGAAGAAAAGAAAGCAAACGAGGACAGGTTCACCAGCATTACTCGCTGAACCCATAAAAAGGGAGAGACTTGAGAGTTGAAACCCCAACCCACCTTCTCTTTCATTCTGCCAAGTGCCAATGATGTTTAATAATGCCGTGTTCAGAGAGGGAAAGAGAGGGATGGGCGTGAGAGAAACTTGAATGAAAGCATCGTCTGCTTTTTGCTTGAGTTCTTTGTTAGTTCTCCCTTAATCATCATCATTCTTCTTCTACTTCTTCTTCTTCTTCTGTCGGGAAACCCAAGGAAGGATTCTTATACTGTTTGTTTCGTTTTGTCTCTCTGCCATTAATTCCCTCTCTCTTTCCATGAAACTGCAAGATGACAATGGGAGATGAGTCTTTGACAATATCAACAACAGCAGTCCCCTTTGACAGAGCAGTTGAACAGGTCACTTTCCTGTTCCTTTATTCAGTTCTCTCTTGACATTCAAGTTTTCAAATTGTTTCATGTGGATGAACTGTATCCATTCGTTCTTTCTGTGAATTTGAGCTGTTTTGATGAAAGGATTACGGTATGTTTTTTCTCTGCAATATGCCTAAACTACAAAGGGGGGTCCCAATTTTTTAAAGTAATCGCTGGTTTTCCATTCAAAATTCAAAATTTGTCTTTTCTGGGCCCATTCAAAATCTTTTGCCGTTTTAAGAGAGTTTCTCATTCTCTATTCTCTAGTTATTAACAATCATTAACACTATTGTTTCATTCCCTCTCTAAACAAAGCGCTGAACTGATTTTATCATTTACTAACTCTCACAACACGCGTGGGATCGATCGGCAGATTTCTTTCTCTACTTGTTTTTGTTTTTGTTTTTTTTTTTCCTGGCAGAATATGTCTACTATGTCTGAATCACTTATAGAATTGGTTTCATGCCAGTGATTAGTAATAAAGGCAGTTTTTTTTTTTGGGCTTCTGGTTCTTCCTTACGTAACAGTCATGAAAAAATCTATAATCCTTCTGTTCAGTTTAATGTAATTTTGTTCTGACTTCTATTTTACAACAGTTGAGAATCTCCAAACATACATCAATCTAGTGGCGATCTCAATTTCATTCCCCATAGTTTTTTTTCCCCGTTTTACATGCATTCATACAGGTACAGGTACAGGTACAGGTACAGATACACACACATCTCCGTACATGGTCACTTGTATGTCTGAATCTGTGAGTCTCTGTGTGACTTCCCATTTCAATAGGGAAGTTAGAATTTTAGTATCATTTTTATGAAAGGAGTCCCAGATTGTCAAAGTGACTAATATTTGGACTCTAGTGTTGTATTTACTTAACGGAATCTTTTCTACTGTTAATTTACCTTTGTAAGAAAATTGGTGTCTTTTTATCCACAACTGAAAATTTGGTATGTAAAATTTTACTCAGGCAATTGTATTTATAAAGAAAGGTGCATACTTACTGAAGTGTGGACGCAGAGGGAAGCCGAAGCTCTGCCCATTCAGACTTTCTCAGGTAAGAATATGTGAGATGGGAGATTATTTAGGACTTCTCTTTGATCATTCCTCGTCAGTGATTAGGGGAAAAGGGAAATGAAATGCAAATGAATAATTCCTCAGCAAAAAGTTCCTAACATGAGGATATATCTATGTGAACGAGTTGGCTTGTTTATGAATGCTACATTTGGAATTAGAAGATAAAGCTCCACATGGTTGTCTGGAGCTGCTCAAAAATATTCTTTACTATACCTTTCTCCCACAAAATCTCGCCTCTGGCTAGTTTCTTTATCATTGTGGTTTTTTTTTTTTTTTTGGGGGTTGGGGATGCTCTTATTGTCTCTTCAATTGATTGCTCATTCCATATAAGATTTTACTGAGGTTCATGTGGTGGTCTCAAAATGAAAACTTTTTCTGCTAAGGTTGAGAGAATACTAATATTTCTGCCGGTAATCCTTTTCACTCATTTCCAAATGTGCGTGATTTTTCCCCCAGATATGCATGATATGTACCGCAGAATCTGTACTTTTAACAGAAAGCTCTTTGAAAATATAGAATTCAGTTTAGTCTATCTCTCTCCCTTCAATGAAAGCAGCAAATATTTCAACCAGGATACGGAACATTTTTTATTTTCTTTGTAGAAATTTTATCATCCTTAGAGGGAAAAGAAATTGGCAAAGAAAGAAGGCTCATTTCATGATATAAATCAACTATACATTTCATAGAATGCAGACAAGACTCTTCTTTGCTAACAGGACAAGATTTCGTGGCACAATCAAATTAACTATACTAATAGTCTGCACAAGATGACTAATTTTAAGCCATATCACCATCAAACTTATCTTGTTTGTTGCATTTTGTATTGAACTTTAGCTTTACAAAGTAATCAGGGTAATTTATTATCTTCTTAATTGCGACATAAAAATATATGGGAAAAAATGTGAAATGCAAGATGGCTTATGTCAATTGGCAAACATGTGTTATACCCTTGATGCGGAAATTGTAGGACTAATAAGTTTGATATATAACAGGCTAAATTCAAAGGTCTGTAGTGGTAACTTCTAAAATTGATTGCTTACCAAGTTCTCAGCACTTGTCCTGCATTTGTGCATTAACAGCGCACATGGCCCAAATGTTGTTTTTATCTAATTGTTGTGCTTGTTTGCTGTCATATGTTACTTTAGTGGTGCTTGACTGCGTTGTCCCTTGACAGATATTGTTTCACAAGCACACGCTTACACCCGTGTATAACTCTATTTGTTCCTGCATTTCTTATGTTTATTATGATAAGGTTTATTATAAAATGTGTTTTACCCTAATTTCAGGATGAGAAAAATTTGATTTGGTACTCCGGACAGCAGGAAAAACACTTGCGGTTGAGTTCAGTCACTAGAATTATTCAAGGGCAGGGAAATGTATGAAACAAACATTAATTCCTTCTCAGTCATTGCACTGTCTTGAAAGATAACTAAAAAGAACGTACTTGTTTTAGTCTAATAAATTGCCATCCACTTTCAGATAAAGTCCCAAAAGCTAAATCAAAACGGGAAGGAGTGCCATTCATTTTCTCTAATTTATGCTAATGGTGAACGCTCACTTGATCTGGTAATGTGGTTACATATATGTGTGTATATGTATATAACAAATGTGCTTTTGTTTTGTACATACACATTCATTTAAAAATTTCTAATTCTAGTTTCAATCCTCTTCAAATTTATCTCTTCAACTAGATATGCAAGGACAAAGCACAGGCTACTTCTTGGTTTGTGGGCTTGAAAGCCGTAATTTCTCAGTCTCAACACCAAAAACCTTTTAGTAGTTTAAGAAGCTGCAAAGGTATACAGAGTTGTGTCAGTAGTCCAGCTGGAATCTTACGAAGAAAGAAAAACCTTGGCCTTCTGGAGGATGCTGCTGAATTCACAAAGGTTTCCTTAATCTGCTGCATTGCTCTTTCCCTAAAGTTCAAATTTCTTTCCTTTCCTATGGAAAAAGTTCGAATCTGAGAGTAATATCTTAGGTGCAATGATTTTGGGTGTGCGTGTTTAATGAATCTCTTCTTCTTCTTCTTCTTCTTCCACCTCCTCCTCTTTTTGTGTGTGTGTGTTTAATGAATCTTCTTCTTCTTCTTTTGTGCGTGTGTTTAATGAATCTTTTCTCTTTTATGTTTTATTTAACCTATTAAATGAAAAATCAGATTGACCTTTTCCTTGATATTATGATTATTATTCTTCAAATGATTGAATGTGGATTCAGACCACAAGTTAAATGCATTAATGCTGTGTGTAAGTTATGTTTTATGATAAAGGCTTTTCAATGTATACCACTCTTATTTTTTTCCCGTCTTCTTAGACTATCAAATACATATGATTTTCTTGTGGAAGAGATGAGAAATTGTGTCTTTTGAAAATCTCTATATCGTGTCTGAGTAGTAGCGATGCTTAAACATATCAATGTTGCATTTCAGATACCATGAAACAAGCAGGTTTAATGATGTAGTTTCCACCTTAATTTTGACTGCCGATTGTTGTCCTTTGGAAGGTACACAGCGTTTGTGCAAGTCCTACTTTGTCACTTTCAGAGAGGTGCTTTTCTGATGGCTTATCTTATAATTGTGATAGCTTCTATTCATCAGAGTCTTTCCCATCCGATACTCAAAGGGTAGGTGATAATTCAGTTCCAAATTCTCCATGCATCGATCCAGATATTCTTAGCAAGAGTAGGTCAACATATGTTGATACAGAATATCAGAAGGATTTGCCCTATAGGTATCTTGTGCCTGCCACCTCTCCACGTGTAGCAAATAACAATATATTGAAAGATGTCATGATCTGGGGTGGGGGGATTGTCAGAATTGCAGGGAGTGGGAATGACCAGCTTGTCGACCAGCAGGGAGCTCATATGCTGTTGCCAAAGTTACTAGAATCCACTATGATGTTAGATGTAGAAAACATTGCATTAGGAGAAAAACACGCTGTACTTGTTACAAAGCAAGGAGAAGTGTTAAGCTGGGGCGAGGGGAAAGGAGGAAGGCTGGGGCTCAAAGTTGATATAGATATAACCTCTCCCAAAATTGTTGATTCTCTTAATGGGGTGCATGTAAAGGATGTTGCCTGTGGTGAGTACCATGCGTGTGCTTTGACAGATTCTGGCGAAGTATATGCATGGGGGAATAGTGGTTGTGTTGCAGATCAGTTTGGTGAAGGGAGATTCAAAACTCAATGGATACCACACAAACTCTCTGGTCCTTTAGATGGTATTATTATAGCACATGTCACTTGTGGGGAATGGCATACAGCAATTGTCTCATCTTGCGGACGGCTATTTACATATGGGGATGGTACATTTGGAGTTCTTGGGCATGGGAATTCTCTGAGCATTCCTCAACCAAAAGAAGTTGAATCTCTTAAGGGTCTATGGGTGAGGTCTGTTGCTTGTGGATCGTGGCACACAGCAGCAATTGTTGAAGTCATGGTTGACCGCTTTAGGTACAATACTGGTAAGCTGTTCACTTGGGGTGATGGAGAGAAAGGGATGCTTGGCCATGCTGATAACGGGAGGAAGCTCTTGCCAACCTGTGTTTCACAACTGCTGGATTATGATTTTGTTCAAGTATCTTGTGGAAGAATGTTGACTGTAGCACTTACTAATATGGGTAAAGTTTTCACAATGGGAAGTGCAGTGCATGGACAGCTAGGAAGTCCACGTGCCAAGGATAAATCAGTGACAATTGTTGAAGGACTTCTTAAACAGGAGTTTGTGAAAGAGATATCATCAGGTTCATATCACGTTGCTGTCTTGACATCTTCCAGGAGTGTCTATACATGGGGAAAGGGTGCAAATGGACAGCTAGGGTTAGGTGACACCGAGGACAGGTACTCACCATCTTTTGTTGTGGCTCTAAGAGACTGGCAGGTAGAGAGTATTGCTTGTGGACCAAGCAGCACAGCTGCTATCTGTTTACACAAACCAATTTCTATTAGTGACCAGTCAGCTTGTAGTGGTTGTAAATTGCCCTTTGGATTTACAAGGAAGAAGCATAATTGCTATAATTGTGGCCTCCTATTTTGTCATCCATGCAGTAGTAAAAAGGTTACTGATGCAGCTCTGGCACCAAATAAGAACAAGGCTTTTCGGGTTTGTGACCAATGCTTCAATAAGCAGCTTGGAAGTACACCTTCAGTTGCGGCTTCCAGGTCAAGAAATTACAATTCTCAAAAGGTGCTGAAGAATCAGAACAAGTTTACTGATTTTACAGAAGATAGAGGAGAAACAGCAGTGACACAGGGTCCACTGTTGTCTCTTGGTCAATCATGCTACAAAAGAAGCATGCCAGGTGGAAGAAAAGAGTGGAAAAACCAGCAAGAAAGCCAGCAGAATTTAGAAAATATTTCTTCTCTATCTGGTGGAATGCCGAAATGGGGGCAAGTTACATGCCCTGCCCTGTTTAAAAATTGTACAGAAAATTCTGTTTCATCATTTAGAAATAAATTAGGTTCTCTTACTTCAGTGCATTTAGAGTATACTTTATCCAACAATTTGTATGGAGAGAAAGATGCCACAAAGTCTGATAATACATTGATAGAAGAAGTTCAGAGGCTAAGAGCTGAGGTAAGTGACTTAACATTGTTTTTTTTGGCATATTTGCTGGTGCGTAAAATTCCTTCCTTGTTATGCTTTAATTTATCTATTACAATTTTCTATGTTCATATTTAAAAGCTGAGTTTATCTCCAAATGGTGCTAATTTATATCTTTATTTAGGCTAGAATCCTTGAAGAGCAATGTGAGATAGGAAACCGTAAGTTACAAGAATGTCATAAAAAGATTGAGGAGACTTGGCTATTGGCAAAGGAGGAGGCTGCAAAGAGCAAGGCAGCGAAAGAGGTCATAAAAGCCTTGGTATTAAGGGTGAGTTATTTCTTCGTCCATTTATGGCCTCCTTATACCTAGAATATGGATTGCTGGCCAGCTCAATTGATTGACCATATTCACCTTCGTTTTGTATAGGTCTTGTTACTTTCACGGTAATATTAAGATTTTCTGCAGCAAACAGTGTATTTTAGTTAGTCTGTCTTTATGGTGGTGACCTTACTGTCCTTGTACTATGTAATTTATATAATTATAGCTTTTGCAGTTGCAAACAGTATCAGATAAAACCATAGCCGAACAAGACGGAAAGCTGGGGATACAGGAATGTCTGTCAAATTTAACACGCATTCGTACGGATATCAATTCTACAAATGATGGCAATGTGGACAGTCTATCAAATTCCCCTATCGTGTTCTCTGACTCGTTAAAATCCAAACTTGCGAGAAGTTCAATCCTTAAAGGTGATAGATCAAAGGAGGATTCTCAGTTAACTAAAGCAGAATCTCATGAAGATGGCTCTGAGGGCTCGAAGGTTGAATGGGTAGAACAGTATGAGCCTGGTGTCTACATCACTTTAACTGCCTTGCCATGTGGGCAGAAGGGCCTTAAGAGAGTTAGATTCAGGTAATTCGTTTCTGCTTTATTTCAATCTAAGAGTGATGTTATTCAAGAAGTTTTTAGTGGCACACACTGATACACAGCCACTAAAGCTGGAGACAGACATCGTACCTAAACTTCAGAAGCAACATGTAGAGTTGTGGATAGCCAAAAACAAGTTTAAATACTAGAAAACGATTATATCCTCTAACATGCTTGCATGTCTCTTCACTGTTGTTTTGGTCTACCTAATTGGATTTATCTTAGAACCTCAAAAGTGTCATCAGTGTCCACTTTTCTCGCTGCTTGTAGTTTTGAACTTTATAAGGAAATTTCTAGTCATGATATCTGTGGTATGATACAATCCTTTAATTGAGATTCTGCATGATCTTCGTGTCTTCTATGTTTCTTCATTGATCAGTTGGGGGATTGGAGGTTACTTATTAGGTGGTGTCAATATGCAGCAAAAGTTCTTCAATTAGCCGTGTCTACGAAAAGTTGATATGCCAACTGAGTTCATGAATAAACTTATTAGCACGAGACACTATTAACATGTCTGCTTAACATGCTTACATGTATCTCTGTGATTAACTGATCATATGTAGTATCTATTTAATAAATTTTCTGGCTCCCTATCCAACTCTTGATGATCTGAAACTCCATTACTGGCATCTGTGCAATGCAGCCGGAAACAATTTTCTGAGAAGGAAGCCGAGAGATGGTGGGAGAAGAATCAAGCCGCAGTGTATCAGAAGTATGGGATTCAAGGATGTATAAAGACAAGCCAAAACTGGGAGAAGGGCTAATGTTTACCTGGTTTCCATCCCCAGCAGGAACTTGATTCTGCAGCTTGAGTCTAGCTGAGAGGTTTACTGCAAGAAGGACAAAGTCTTCTTGTATCCCAAATATCCTTTGTTCATATGAGTATATTCTTGGGCATTGTCCCATTCCATGTACAGTCACCAAGAACATTGTCTCTCTCTAATCTACATTATAAAAGCTTGTTCCCTTTTGAAGTTAATTTTAGTCTGAAATGGCCAGACAGAGCCGCGCGCGCACATCCCCCACTCCCCACAGGCAAAATCTATTTATAGGAATTCACTTAAATTTGGTCATCACTTTCTTGGTGACTTCCAAAATTTATTCTTTTCACTTGTGTCATTGTTTGTTTTGTTTTAAAGCTCTATTTAAACGAACTGGGAAGTCATACGAAAGAGAGTGATAAGAAAACATGTTTTAGGTTTATGCATGCATGCTGCTGGTGCTGGTACTGGTGAAGGTAATCCAAAAGTGATTATGGTACTCTATTCAAGTTTAGGGATTTAATTTTAGTGATTGGAATACAAATTAATTGGTGGTCATGATTTGTTTAAGTTCATTATAAGGACCTGAGGAAAAAAATTGTGGGTCACACTGGATGTTATCGTACGTTGAGCCCATTGGAGAACCCAAAAAAGTGCATTATCTCTGTTGTGACCAATTTAAAAACAAAATCATTGTGGGCAGAGAAACTTAAGATGCCGCTTAAAGTTTGCTTCTTTCTGTCCATTTTTTGTCTTCTAAGCTTGTGATCCATGTGGGGCCCTGCAGGGGGATGCTCTTTGCTGCCATTCCCTCCCTTCCTCTCAAAAAAATGCATTTACCCAACGCGAAAAGCTTTATTATTAATTACAAATTAATTTGATTCTTTAGCAAGATATATGTGTATATATATAAAATTATGTTTGTTGGTTTGGTTGATAATAACTGTTTTCATAGATCCTAAAAACTTGAGTTTGAGTTTTGTTACAAATATGAGGATCTCATTGATTAGTAATTAGTAAATGCTTATATCATACTAATAAAAAATCTTATTTGTTAATATACACACGCATGAAATTAAGAGAAGATGATGGAGGAAGAAAAACTGAAAAAGTAGAGAAGGAATAGATTCATAAAGGGGAAAAGAACCAAAATATGGGTTCATGAAAGGTAAAGGTTGATATGATATTTATATTTATTAATAAAGAGGAGCATATTATAATATATAGGTTACAGGATATATTGGCAGGACGGCAAGAGGCAAAAGCATCAGATATCCCACGAACAAGTGATTCTTCCATGCATGCCACGTGGATGCTTTATTTGGTTCACGTGGCAAAAGCAGGCCCCACATGGGTCCCACCTTGGACTTAGCTGTACATATCCCCCATCATCCTTCCATTGTCCTCCCCATATAGTTTTAAAGGTTTTAAAATGGTTCAGTCCATAATTAATAATTGGTGTTCACGTAATTGCCAAGATAATCTTACCCATGTAATCCTGTAAGCTAATAATATACAGTAGATACTGAATTAAAAAAACTCACTTTTGTCTTTCAAGATTGCATTGAACATTTTTTCTTCAACAATTTTTTATTACCGTAAATTTTTTTATCTATTTTTTTTTTTTCATACTGTATGGGTTCTTATACTATTTGCATAGTTGATTTTAAAATAAAATTAAAAAAATGATAAACCAAACAATCTTGTCTTGTCTTAATTAGAACGAGATGCCATCAGGAAAAGACAAGACACAAAATGAAAAAAAACCATCCCAATTTTGAGACAACACCAAGATGTAGTTGTTACAATCGTGACCCATGAACACCGTCACCTAATCAATTTAGATGTGAGCATATAGTAGAGGATTTAATCACTTAAACAAAATACTATCTCATTCCTTAATATAAAAACTCATTTAATTTTTATTTTGGTCCTAAATATAAGACATCAATACACTTCGTCTCTTATATTTATTCATTTCTTCTTAAGATAGTCCTTATAATAATGATAGTTCTAACCAATACATATAATTAGCAATGATACTTTAAGAAAGATAACACCTATTTATTACAAATAACTAACTTAATTAATTTTTTTAATCTACTCAAATTAGTCAACTAACTCTTATATTAAAGACTAGATATAGTATAAGAATTTCAACTCTTGTAAATATAGCAATCTAGTAAAATACAATTTACTTCCCTTCTCTAAGAGAGATTGGACTATGTTGTCAATAGAGAGTATACTTCATGTATTTCACCAAAAAGTCACACCCTTATTAAACACACTTTAATAATACAATATCAATTATTTTTTATTCTTTTCTTGATGCATTAGAATAGTTGAAACTCTTGATCTCTCTTCTTATATTCCACATTATTTTTTTTCTTTCTAATTTATCATATTATCAATACTTTTGGGGTGTGTGTGTGTGTACCCATTGATCACATTAGGGCGTAATCTGCAAAAAGAAGTTAATAAAGTTGCAGATTGAAATAAAGATATTACAATTTGTCATTAATTAATTGAAACCTGCTCATAGAATGTGTCCATTTCCCTTTCTCTCACGCACATAATCGGCCCATATATAATACTCTGCCAGTCCTTAATATAATATCCAATTCTTGAGTTGATTTTGGTTCTAAATATAAGACCAATTTCTCATATTTATTAATTTTTTCTAAATTACCCCTATGCATACTCCCTCAACCATAATCAAATAGAAAAAGGAGAGGGGGTATTAAAAAAGATGATTATGGTGTTTTAGAAAAAACGTTTCACTTTTCTTATAATTAACTAACTTACCTAACTTCCTTAATCTAATCAAATTAGTTAAATAGGTCTTATATTAAGGACCAGAGGAGTATTATTTAGAACATTTTTAATACATAGTATATCAAATGTATATTTCACACACCCACATATCATACTAATTTTGAATGGCATGAAAAATTAAAATGCCATCACATATATGCGAGCGCATAGCAAATACTACCTCCGATCTTTAATAGAAAAATATAAATTTAACTAATTTGAATAGATTAACAAAACTAGTTTTGGTAATAAAAAAAAGTTAAACTATTTGTCAAAAAATATGTATTAATTTTTCTAAAATGCCCTTGTAGATCATTTGTATTAAAACTATCTATTGATGAAAACTCGTTTAACATGTTCAATCAGTATGGATAGTTGGGAAGAAAAAATGATAAATGTAAGGGACAAAATGAATTAAAATATTATATTGAGGACCAAATCTAATTTCTAACTATAGTACTATTATATTACAGACCAGAGGTAGTATCCAGTTTTTAATATAAGAGCTAATCTTTGGTTAGACTTGATCCTAAATATAAAATCTTAATTCACTTTATTTCTTAAATTTATAATTCAAACTAAATAAGAGGTTTTCACAAAAAAAAAAATTTCTATTATACATGACTAGATATGGTGTTTGGCGACATATACATTCGTTAAAAATGACTAACTAAATTAATTTCTTTAATATCTGTAACCTAGTTACTTAGCTATTATATTAAGAACTGAATTTGGTATATCTCTGGGCTGACAAAATAAGAAAATCAACGTCAATGATTGAATTTCAACCTAATTAATGTAAGTGGTGATCACAATATACAAGAACTGGAGAAACTGTGTTGCATGCATCTACAACCGAACGTAATGTGAGAGAATCAACAGTTCTTAACCAATATTCCAAAAAGAACAGGAAAACACACCCACACGTTAAGAATTTCGATCTCCGCAAAAAGTGCGTAAAAATTTGAAGATATGCTGTTGTAGGAGCACACAAATTCTGAACCATTCAGCATCCACGTGAAAAGAAGAAATGTAACAAAAGCGAACGAAAATGATAGGCGACAACATAAAAAAGTAGACAACAACATGAGATATATTATTAGAAAACATGTATATATATAAATATATAATAGACACAGACAAATGTGAAAGGGGTGGTTGTTTTCGTTTAGAAACAGCCGCCAAAGATGGTTGTCTTCATGAGTTTCCTCACGTCAACGTAGATCCCATATTCTTGTATACGTATAATATATACTAACGTGCATGAGATGCAACCACTCAGAGGATGCCACGTGGAGGAGCTGGGAATTTTTGGAAGGAACTAGTACGAAGCATTGGATAACTGGGCGCAGAAGAGAGAGAGGGTTAGATTAGCCATAACGAATAAGCAATGCAAGCTTGATCACAAAGAAAAGGGGAATCATTCATCATCTTGATCAAAAAAACAAATGAAAAGTAACAAAAAGCCAAGTGGGGCTGACACAAACCTTCGCTTTGCTTTTGTTTTGTTTATTTACTCTCTCTCTCTCTCTCTCTCTCTACTCCTGTCGTCTTTATCAAAACCCCAAGCAACCCTCGGAAATCATCCTCTCTTCCTCTTCTCTTTTGCCATTCTTTGATCATCCTCAAGCTCTTCCTCTCTCTGCCGCCTTTGGATCTTCTTCCTCTAAGGTCTGATCCATCTCTCTCCAACTATATATATGTGTGTGTTTCTTACATATATACATATATATAGATGAATGCATGAATAATGATTTAAGTTGTTTTGACAGTACATTATATGTATGGTTGCTGCATAATTATGATTAGTGTAATTACTTGGGATATTGAGACTTTTGAGTCTGTGTGGTTTTGTTTAGGTCACAGATAACTGATAAACATATAAAGAAGGAGGTCCGAAGGTAGGTGATATATATATATATATAGATGGCACCAGTTTCATTTCCTCCGGGATTCAGATTCCACCCTACAGATGAAGAGCTCGTTGCTTACTATCTGAAAAGAAAGATTAACGGCCTCAAGATTGAGTTAGAGATCATCCCTGAAGTTGATCTCTACAAGTGCGAACCATGGGACTTGCCAGGTACATACATATATAAATGTGTGTGTTATATATGTCGTAATCTCAAAATTCTAATAGTAATACGTAATTATAGGTTGCTAATAAGCTTTAAAATTGTTTAATTTTCTGGAAGATGTTATAGAGAGAGAGATATATATATCTACCTTGTTTTTCTCAAAGTTTTCTTTGTTTCCCCTTACTGCAAAATTGTTTCCACGAATAAAACTTGCTTCTCTGTTCTCTTGGCTTTGTTGGAGGATGAAAAAACACATGCTTGCTTTATTGGTCAAGTATATATTTCGCTTTAACATCATAAAATATCTGGCGTGGTTTTGCACTTAAGCTTCTGGGGTGGTGGGTCCCTTCACCTTTAGCCAGTAATAAGACAAGAGAAGAATTCTGCAGTCAAAAAGCTAACCCACAAAGAAATTAAAAGAAAACATCATTTCATGGTCTCCAAGGCGTTCAAATTAAAACTCCCATGCAACGCATTTATCACAAACTTTGGGTTTTTTTTTGGATGCAGGGAAATCGCTGTTACCAGGGAAAGACTTGGAGTGGTATTTCTTCAGTCCTCGAGATAGGAAATATCCAAACGGATCAAGAACGAACAGAGCCACAAGATCTGGGTATTGGAAGGCCACAGGAAAAGACAGGAAAGTGAATTCACAGAGTAGAGCAGTGGGCATGAAGAAAACCCTAGTTTATTATCGAGGAAGAGCCCCACATGGCTCTCGTACTGGTTGGGTCATGCATGAGTATCGTCTTCACGAGCGAGAATGTGATCCTGCTTCTTCTGGCATGCAGGTAATTAACAAATAACACCTTCTCTTTATTATTAGCTTCTTCCGTTCTTAAATATAAGATCTCAATCCATTTTTATTTTTCAGATTTATGAATATCTTCCCAAACTGTTTATTGTAGGCACCTTTTGGTTAATACTCCATCTGGTCTCTATAGTTGGAGGATTAGATTTAATTCTAAATATAAAACTTCAATTCATTTTATCTTCTGTATTTATCTTCTTCCCCTAATTAATTTATTTAACTTATAAACATATATTACATGGGTATTATAATTAATTCATTTATTTAATTTTATTAATCTACCTAAATTAATCAAATAGTTCTTATATATATAGATCTTCTGATGTTATTAATGAGTCTCTTCAAAGAAATAACTAGATCTTGGGATGCATATCTGAATATATATTCATGATTTCAGGAGGCATATTCTCTGTGCCGTGTGTTTAAGAAGAGCGCAGTGATAAGTCCAAAGATAGAAGAGCAGTATGTGAGGAGCAATCATGGGAATTATCATAATCAGCAGCAGCAGATGGGTAGTGATCAGACGTCATCAAGCATTAATGACTTTTACTCTGAAGGAAGAGGCGAAGACTTCGACAGCTCCAACAATTACTTGATGCCTCTTGATCATCGTCATCATCATCAGTCAGCCTACATGATGCAGCATCCAAATGGGACGACCAGCAGCTTCAATAATGTCAATTCTTCATGTGGAATCACTTCACAACATGCGAATCCTACTAGTTGGTCGCAGTTCTTGTCTGATGATCCATTGTTAAGCCTCCCAACAACGTCTTCATTTCCCAATTATGGAGCCATATCCTATCCTCCCTCCAAGGTAAATCATGCGAATCCTACTTTTTGGCTTAGAGATGGTTATTTGATTAGGTATGGATTCTGTCTAAGTTTCCTGGATAACCAAGCAGCTAGATCAAGAGAGAAAGAATTAGTAATTTAAATAAGCCCTAGATGGGACCCACAAATCAGTCTCTCTGCCTTTAGATGGTTTGAATTTTTATCTATATATTTAACTAATAATGGACAAAGGATTTCTTTTTGAATCTTTAATTGTTAGTGTCATTTTTAATCCTGTGCATGTTTAGGGATGTTAACAAATAATTAATTGGACTTGTTTATGTATATAGATATCCGAAATGGATGGAAGCATGTGATGTTTCATGTTATAAACATTCTATATGCTATCCAAAAATGGTATCTCACATGCATATATGAGTTTTTTAACCCGGTTATATTTTGCAAATCACTGATAATTAACCTTTTCTTGATAAAAAAAATTTAAATTCTCACAGCAATTAATTATGGCCTTTCATATCCACTGTTTAAGAAAGAGTGAATATAAATGAATATTTGATCAACCTTTGATAAACTTTACACGGCGTTATAATGTGTATATATATTTAATTTATACTAATATATATGACTTGAGATACCAAATATAACTTAAGCTCTCGAGTCGTATCTTCTAGTGATTTAAAGAAACCGCGTTAAACTCGTACTTGTGTGGGTATTTAAGATGATTCAGCTTCCATTCACGGCTCATGTATGCGTGTATATATATATGATGTGTTTTGTAGGTGGACATAGCTTTAGAATGCGCAAGGATGCAGAATAGGTTCAGTATGCCTCCATTGGAAGTGGAGGACTTCCCTCAAGTTGGGATTTCTGAACTGAGGATGCCACAACAACAACCTCATCATTCTGGGGCCATAGTTCATGGAAGCAGAACTGAAACAACAACAACAGATATTTTGCAGGAGATTCTATCAGTAGCTCATGCTTCTCAGGAGCTCATTAATCAGAACTCAAACTATTCATCAGCCACCACTTGGGGCGGCGGCGGCGAAAACTATGCTCGTGAAGAAGATGATGACTTCACCTTCATGGTGGGAAGAGGAAGTGGTGATGATCAGAACTATAATTACAGCCACCATGTGAGTGACTTGAGTTCCATGATGAGAGGCATTAATAATAATGAGGCTACTACATGGGAAGATCAGAGCACAGCCAGGCCAATAGAGATTGCGGATTTGGATGATGAGTTCAAGGCAGAGAGGATGGTGGAGAACTTGAGATGGGTTGGAATGTCAACCAAAAATACGGATAAGGTATGTTAGTGTTTTCATGATCCTTAATGGTTCAATTTTTCTAACCAGGCTAAAACAGTAACATACTACATCCAATTTTTAATATAAGAGCTAGTTGACTAATTTGAGTAGATTAAGAAAACTAATTAAGTTAGTTATTTGTAACAAACATATATTGTCTTTCCTAAAATATCCTTGTTCATCAAATGTGTATTGGTTAGAACTACTATTATTATAAGGACTACATTAGAAAAATATATATAAATATAAGAGACAAAGTAAATTAGGATCTTATATGTAGGACCAGAATATAAGTAAAAAAAACTCTTATATTATGGATCAGAAGTATTAAATATCTATACATATCTGTGGATATGTAAAAATCTATTGTCTTATCAATCAGATGTTGTTCATTTACAACTTACTATTCTTTATAGTGCACCTTGAACTTCAGAAAAGCCAATGCAGATATCATATTAGTTCTTCTGATAAATATTTGTTATATATACAGTATCCTGATGAATACATAATTTATATGAAAATTTTTACAATTGCGCAGAGCTTTATGGAAGATCAAAAGATTGTTCCTATTGAGGATATTACAAATTTCCAAATAAATAAGGAAGACAATGACGTGCAAGGTACGGAAGATCGACATTTTAAGTGTTTGCAACTAAATTTTATTATCGAAACATAGGGTGAAAACATGTTTTATAACTCGGAATTTTATTATTAAAAAAAAGTAACAATCACTTGTCAAAACGTAGAAAATCTTGTGATTTTTCCCTATGTAATTAGCGGTTATGTAAACTTTAATCTCCCATAATAATTTAGAGGGGTTTTTATTTTGCAGCAGAATCTGTGCAGCACCAGAGCAACGACATGAATGACTTCTCATTGGGATTCATCAATTATGATGAACCAAATGAGAACTTCATAGATGAAGGTACCCCCATGGATGACTATTCAAGCTCTCCAAGCTGCTTTGAGGTTGTTGAGGAAGTAAAAGTCAGCCACGGAATGTTTGTGGCAACTCGCCAAGCAGCTGAGACATTCTTTCACCAGATAGTTCCTTCACAAACCCTCAAGGTTCATCTCAACCCAATAACGGCAACTAACACTACTCTTTCATCAGAAAATGCAGAAACAGCAGAGACAGAAACACTGAGAATGGAGAACCAAGGGTCCTATTTCACGAAACTTAAAGACTATGTGACGGGAAAGCTAATAATGAAGCCTTCAAAGACCGCTAGTGCTATTATGTTCATATTTGCATTTCTCTTGATGCACTTTGCTTCATATTTGGAGGCGCATGCGCAAATCTTGAAACTAGATCCTCAAGATGAAGATGTCAAAGAGAAACATTGCTCTTGTGCCAGCAGCAAGAAGGAATTCTCATGGAATGGGAAAGAAGGGGTTTGGTTTGTTGGTATCAAAAGTGGAAGAGGGTTTAGTGTGGTGTTGAAGAAGATAGGGATTTTCCTCACAATTTCTTTAGCACTTTGCACTATGTGGGCTAACCACATCACCGTTGATTAACCCCTAAATTAATTATCTGTTTTTGTTTCTGATTAAAGGAATCTGAAAAGGTTCAATTCCCTAGGTTTCTCCCAGTTAAGGAGCTTGGAGGCTAATGCATCCCAACTTGTACTTTACTTTGACACACTCTCTTTAATTAAGTTACTTGTACTCTATTCTTATATAGAATAACTTACCTTTACTTCTTTTCCTTCTTAACATGACAACTTCCCACACACGTTGGATATCATATTTTCACATGGCTTAAACTTATTTGAGAAGAGTATTAAAGATAATGTACATGATCAAGGGTATTTGTAGTTTATATATATATATACACACACACGGAAATATCATCTCCCGAGATATTAGGAGGATTATAGGAATCAGATTTAATTTGATTTATTCCCTAGAATATCTCTGTAATCCCTCTCGATCTCATCTATAATCTCTCTCGATCCCCATTCTACTTATATATACAGTGTACAGTAACACCCAGAATATACAAGTGAATATTTTCCACATATTACCGTGTCTATATGGTATCAGAGCCGGCGGACGGTCGTCCTTCAGCGAGTCCGGTGAATCCCTCATCTTCGTCCTCCACGTCGGAGGACACACCAGTTGGGTCGAGCCCCAGGCAGCGTCCGACCACGATGGACCCTCCTGGTGGATCCCCTGCGCAAGTTTCGAGTTCGATCAATGCACCCTCCGCGTCGACCATCAATGTCGATGGTTCTTCCATTGCCCTTGTATCGGAAAAACTCATCGGCAGCAATTATAGGGAGTGGGCTCAGGCTATGCGTTTAGCCATTGGTGGCCGTGGCAAGCTCGGTCTGATCACTGGAGAGTCGACCACACCCAGTGACCTGAAGTCTTCAGAGATGCAGCGATGGCTCACGGACAATTCCCTTGTGTGCTCCTGGTTGATTAATGCTATGTCACCCTCCCTCAAAAGGAGTTTCATGTATTTACCTACTGCTAAAGACATGTGGGATGCTGTCCGCGAGTCGTATTCGGATGGCGAGGACCTTGCCCGCCTATATGATCTAAAAACCAGAATCTGGAATATCAAGCAGGGCACTCGCACCGTTACAGAATACTGGTTGGAGCTCATTGGACTGTGGCAGGAATTGGATATGATCACCGAGGAGGAGTGGTCTTCTTCCACTGATGCTGCGCGACACAAAAATAATGTTGAAAAGGAACGTGTTTTTCAGTTCCTCGCTGGATTGAACCCTGAATTTGATGACATTCAAAGCCGGATCCTAAGTCGTTAATCACTGCCTAACACTCGTGAGGCCTTCTCTGAAGTACGCCGTGAAGCCTCACGTCGCGACGTTATGCTGCACCCTGCCTCTTCCACTGTTTCTGACTCATCTGCTCTTGTCAGTAGAGGGGGTCCTCATCTTCCTCCACAAAGCCCAAAGTCACCTGTGATCATTGCAAGAAGCCAGGCCATACACGTGATCGCTGCTGGGACATCCATAGAAAACTAGCTGATTGGAAATCTCGAAAGGGTAAACCTCGAGGCTATCAGGTATCACCAGAACCCTCTCAATCCTCTGATTCCCTTCCAACATTATCAAATGAGCAACTACAGCAATTACTTACTGCTCTCAAAGGCCTCCCAACGCAGCAACCTCCCCTTGCTGCGTCTGCCTCCATAGCTCACACAGGTACCTCTCCATTCGCTCTTCATACCTCGTTCTCGTCCAATAAATGGATAGTTGACACTGGTGCTACTGATCATATGACCTCGGATGCTCGTATGTTTGTTACCTATTTTCCTTGTGCTAGTAATGACAAAATCACAACTGCTAATGGGTCGGCCTCTCCCATTGTCGGCAAAGGCTCGATTACTCTTTCAGATTCATTACATCTCAATTCTGTCTTACATGTCCCCCATTTGGCCTGTAACCTCCTTTCTATCAGCAAAATTACTAAACATGCAAATTGTGGTGCTTACTTTTTTCCCACTTTCTGTGTTTTTCAGGATCTCTCATCAGGGAAGATGATTGGCATAGCTAGGGAGCATAATGGTCTCTATTATCTCGATGTCTCTACCGTGACTGCCTTGTGTTCGCAAATCCATGGTCTTGTTTCTACTCCTAACAATAATGATGTTTTATTATGGCAAAAAAGAATGGGTCATCCCAGTTTCTCTTATTTGCAACGCTTGTTTCCTCATTTATCCATTAATAAAAATTCCACTGTTCATTGTGATTCTTGTACACTTGCCAAACACCATCGTGCACCTTTTCCGCCATCACAATACAAACCAACTCGTCCGTTTTCTATAATTCATAGCGATGTTTGGAGTCCGTCTCGTGTTTCTAACCGTACCCACTCAAAATGGTTTGTCACCTTCATTGACGATCACACACGAATGACTTGGGTTTACTTACTTAAAGAAAAATCCGTCGTTCCCTCTGTTTTTATGGAATTCTTTCACCTTGTCAAAAATCAATTCAACACCACAATACAGGTTTTATACACGGATAATGGTACTGAGTATTTCAATCACCAGCTTGACTCTTTTCTGAAAACCAATGGCATTGTCCATAATAGGTCTTGCCCTCATACCCCACAACAAAATGGTGTTGCCGAACGCAAAAATCGACATCTTCTTGAGGTTGCCCGTGCACTCCTGTTCACATGTAATGTGCCTAAATTTTTCTGGGGGGATGCTATTCTTACAGCCACTCATCTAATCAATCGAATGCCAAGCTGTGTTCTCTCTTTTGTCTCTCCTTTGGACAAACTTCGTGAAACTCATTTCGTCACTCATCTTGATCATCACCTTCCACTTCGCGTCTTTGGCTGTTCTGCCTTCGTTCATCTTCCTCACCCTCAATCTAAACTTGACCCACGTGCCATTAGGTGTATCTTTTTGGGGTATTCATCTGGTCAGAAAGGTTATAAGTGCTATGATCCCACTTCCAAACGCCTCTTTGTTAGCCGTGATGTTCTATTCTCTGAGCATGACCCGTACTTTCCCACTTCTTCAATTCAAGGGGAGAATTGGAGTGAATTTCAGCATGTAGAAAGTGTACCTGAGCCTATACCTCCAACTCAACCTGTTGTGTCCATTCCATCTAGTAATCCTACACCTATTCCTTCCACCGTTGCGCAAGTGCCAAAGGCAGGGGGAGATAAGACCAACAATAGATATAACAAGGTATACATGCGACGAGATAAAGAAACTATAGAGATCGAAATGCCCAGAGCTCTGCCAGAGTTTGACCCAATGAAAGACCCTGAAACGACGATAGAAGTGAATGAGGAGGACCTGCCTATTGCCTTAAGAAAGAAGACTCGCTCTTGCACCATGCACTCTATCTCATGACTATCGTGCTTTTACCACTACTCTTGATCAAATCAGAATACCTAAAAATGTACATGAGGCCCTTGAGCATCCTGAGTGGAAGAAGGCTGTGATGGAAGAAATAGTAGCATTGGAGAAAAATGAAACCTGGGAAGTGGTTGATCTACCAAAAGGGAAGAAAACAGTTGGGTGCAAGTGGGTCTTTACCCCGAAATACAATGCCGATGGAACACTCCACAAGTTCAAGGCACGATTGGTAGCCAAGGGTTTCACTCAGACCTATGGGCTAGACTACAATGAGACATTCGCTCCCGTGGCAAAGCTAAATACGATCAGAGTCCTGTTATCAATTGCAGCCAACTTGGATTGGCCTCTACAACAATTAGACATCAAAAACGCATTCCTTAATGGAGAATTAAAAGAAGAAGTCTATATGACACTGCCCCAGGCTTTGATAGAGGGAGACAGAATCAAGTTTGTAAACTGAAAAAATCCTTGTATGGCCTAAAACAATCTCCCAGGGCATGGTTCGATAGATTCTCCAACGTTCTAAAAGTTGAAGGCTATAGGCAAAGCCTGTTTGACCATACAATGTTCGTCAAGAAGAATGGAGCACTAAAAGCAATTCTTATTGTGTACGTAGACGACATTATTGTTACAGGTGATGATGTAACCGAGATAAACAGAATAAAGACAGCTTTGAATCGAGAGTTTGAGGTCAAAGATCTGGGAAGACTAAGGTATTTCCTTAGAATGGAAGTTGCACGTTCAAAAAGGGGAATCTATGTCTCCCAACGAAAGTATATTCTTGATTTATTAAAAGAAACTGGTATGCTTGGTTGCAAGCCTATGAAAACGCCAATGAGTGTCAAGAAGAAAAGCACCAACCGAGGTAAGAAAAATGCAGCTACCAAAGAAGAGGCTGAGAAAGAGAAAAAACAACGGAAAGATGAGGAACCCGTGGACACTGGTAGATACCAACGACTAGTAGGAAAGTTAATCTACTTGTCACACACCCGACCTAATATTGCTTTTGCGGTAAGTGTAGCAAGTCAACATATGCACTCACCCAGAAAGAAACACATGGATGCAGCCTACAGAATCTTGAAGTATCTGAAAGGGACACCAGGAAGAGGACTTCTCTTTAAAAAGTGTGAGTCTAGAACAGTGGAGATTTACACAGATGCAGACTGGGCAGGTGCGCCAGAGGATAGCAGATCCACATCTGGCTACTGCACCTTTGTGTGGGGAAATCTAGTGACGTGGCAAAGTAAAAAACAGAATGTGGTATCTAAGAGCAGTGCAGAATCAGAATTGAGAGCCCTAGCTCAGGGTATTATGAAAGGTCTCTGGTTGGAAAGAGTAGCAGAGGAGGCTCAAGTTCAAATTATCAAGCCGATGAAGCTATTCTGTGACAACAAGGCAACTCTAAGTATGGCTTTAAATCCAGTACAACACAGCAGAACCAAACATGTTGAGGTTGACAGACATTTTATTAGAGAAAAAGTAGAGGATGGGATTGTATGTTTGTCCTATGTGGCCTCAAAACAGCAAGTTGCAGACATTCTTACAAAAGGGCTTCCTGAAGACTTGTTCGAGAAATTCATCAGCAAGTTGGACATGATTAGCATCTATGATCCAACTTGAGGGGGAGTGTACTTTATATATATATATATATATATATATATATAGACACACACGGAAATATCATCTCCCGAGATATTAGGAGGATTATAGGAATCAGATTTAATTTGATTTATTCCCTAGAATATCTCTATAATCCCTCTCGATCTCATCTATAATCTCTCTCGATCCCCATTCTGCTTATATATACAGTGTACAGCAACACCCAGAATATACAAGTGAATATTTTCCACATATTACCGTGTCTATAGTATTTTTATCTATACATGACAGCACGACTTAAGGCCTCCTCCAAACTACTCAGGTCCCTGGTCCCTTCCAAAAATAAGCAGTCCAACTCGATATGTTCCCCAGGTATTTTAAAATATGTCGATGAAAAGAATTATAAAGTTTATACTCCATTCAAAACAGACATTCAGCGAATCCGGAACTTGCATGAACAAGAATATAGAGCTTTGTGAAGTCTCACCATGGATGAAAGTGTTCAAATTATCCTACACGGTCTTTTTCTGAATATTTGTTCCAGGACAAGTAGGATGGATCCCCAAGAGGTCTGCATATAAGGCAAAAGCCAAATGCAATGTCAATTTGCAAGAATTAACGGAGAAAAACCTAAGATATTTAAAAATAATAATACGCTATGCTTTTCTTATCTGACTAACCAGTACTTTCACTACCTGGACAAAATGTACAAAACTTTAGATCGAATACGAGAAAAGTTAAAATGTTAGAGGAAAAGTTTCTAGCCGTGCACCGATTGGATAAAACTTGCATGTTTGGCGCACTAATCATTAAGAAATTAAATTGTTTGAAAAAAAAAAAAAACCCTTTTAGCAATGGAAGATGGGAGCAATGGAGATCAAATTAAAGTTTCAAATGCAGCAGATCTTAAGGTGAAAATATTCGAGACACGTGAGCAATTATGATGCCAGATTTGTTTACAGTGCAGTCCATTCTACAATGTGGACAAAATCATAATTTCTCTGCCAAATTTTTTACCTGCAAAAAAAAGAAAAGAAAAAAGAAACAATAGATGAAAGATGAGCATAGTATTTCCATACCTTGGTTTCATCACATGCATACTCATGAACACTAACTCAAACAACAAGGACAGCCCGCCAATGGCAAGACACGCCATCCCCACAAAATCATTTCTCCCCCCAATCCAGGTAGTTGTTGAAAGAACCAGAACCTTTTTTCCTCCATAACTGTATGTATTATAGTTGTTCTGAATAACTATGTCAAGTTCATCATTGACTTCAAGGTCAGTCTCAATCTTCCCATATAGTTTTCTGAAAGAAGACAATG